AAATTAATTAGTATACACATAGTATATATGTATAATATATTTATTTATTTACCATATAAAATGGATACCATATTCTTTTAATATTATTCTATCCAACAATAAATAATGATGATATTAATATTAATACCAACAATAACATTATTTTATGTTATTACCATAATTAAATTCCACTAACCTCATTTCTTGATTTTAATAATTCACATATTCTTGGTTTCATCAAGATTTTTAATCCATTGTTATTAAAATATTCAAATTCTTGCACGAGTAATGGCATACCATTTTCATCCAAAACATCCCCAGCAAAAGATAAAAACAATTCAACATCAGGAAAAATACTCCAATTTATTCCCAATGCAGGTTTTCTAGTTGGTGAAAACATTGATACTGGATTATCTGGATTTGCACTAACTGTAGTATTAATTAGCTAATGATATTAATAATAATAAAGATAAGAGGAGGATTGTTAGTCTATAGAGTATTATGAATATATATCAATATTAGGTTGTTATAATATTGTGTTATTATGATATATACCAAAACTGCTATGTTATTATTTTTTGCTATATCTTCAAGACCTATTAAAGGATCACCTTCATTATCTTCTGTCTTTAATGTTTTATATGGATCTTAATAAAATGAATAAATTGATTTGTCGATTACTATTTTTTTTATTAATTTTTCACTTTTATTTATTAATTATTTAATTAATTACCTGCTCCAAGAAAAGAATATCGACCAAGTTTTTCACCACCAGAAATAGACTCTAACAAAAAAGAATAATCACTTTTTGCTGCTATACGTAAGTAAGCGCTAACAGGTGTTAATAAATCTGCAGGGATTGTTGCATAAACTGGAATAGTGTTTCCATCTTGTACCAAAACATACTCTTGAATTTCCTCAAGAGATGGTGTAAACTTAATCTATGCATATTTTTTATATAAAATTGAATTAAACTAAATATATATAATATTAATTCACTTTAAGTTTGTAAATCATTCATTCTTACCGACATATTATTTTCTCTCTTAAATTAAATTAAAAATTTAAATTTGTATTGATCACAAAAAAAAAAATCAATTAATTAATTAATTTGATTA